CACCGTCAGTTGTTAGGAAACCACTTGTTACACAAGAACATATTTTTGAAAAGTATTTGAAGAACTCATTCTAGTGTGTCAAAAGGCTGATGCACCGAGAGTATTGTAATTCTATGAGTCATAAGCTGCTTAAACATTCTGTTAGCATTAATTGTGCGATACCGATCTTGGTCTTTTTGACAATTATCCGTCCATAATTACGAAAAGTAATGAAATTGTTGTCGCCTTCTCAGAAACATTCAATTTTTTCATTAATAGCATTCAGTAACTTGAATATCATTGAAATAATTATCGTTTCTGATTAAACTTACGTAAGAACACGGGAAATCTTAGCGATTACCATTACCCCTCAATATTTCGAAGCAATTTTTCCTTATGTCACCAATTCTTTTTTACCTTATTCTATGTTCTTGGAAATTGTGTGTCATTCTTTTCCTCAATTTACTACTTTCTTGTTTTAAACTTTATTAGCTGAATTATTCAAATATGTGGAATATTTTTAGGAAGGTGAGTCATTATGAATTATCAGTTACTGATTAATGACTTAGGAATAAAATTTTCACTGGAAATATTCGAATAGTTCAATTATTAGTATTTAATTTCAAATGGACATTTTTAAAATATTCTAAATTTTTCAGGCAAACGACTTGGGTAAAGTAATCTATAAAGTAATCTACCTCTTTGGTTAAATTCTAATCCAAATCAGGTTCTAGTAATCCTGCCAACAGCTTCAAAGGACTATAATTAATAAGCTATATGTTTTCTAGGATTAACAAATACAGGATATGAATTACACCGACATAAATGGAACTTCGTTCGAGCAAGAATCTGGAAAAAAAGATTCGCACGATCCTAGTCGCCAACGTCATCCACGTCGCCACCATTGCAAACGGTACTTGCGCAAGCACGAATTTTGCAATTTGCTGCCTACGGATGCCGACCGATCTCTCGACTCGATCTCCTCGTGCATTCCACTTCTCTGAGACGCTTTAATGTTTGTAATCTAACTGGAGAATGTTACGAGGAAAAAGAAAAGGGAAGAAATCTCGTTGAGAAACGACCAGTGAATAATCCATGTTATTGTTATCTTTAACAGAGGTGGTAAGGCAAACGTACATGAAAAATTTTACATCGTTTCGTCAAGGAGATTTATGAGAATTCAAATATGATAAAGAAAGCAAAGCAATGGTTGGAATATTTAGGAACACGTGTAGCGTGGCGACGCTATTGTGGAAACGTTTTGAAACACGCATCACGCTGTTTTTCCCGTTACGGACGCGAGCTCTATCGACCGAATTCTTTAGTGATGATTGGCGTGGAACAATTAAACGCTCACTGGAGTTGTTTCGGTGCAATAGCAACGTTGTTCAACCTTTGTGAAACAAGAATTATCAATTAACCAGTGTCTCTATTAAAAAAATGCAATATCAACTTAATATACTGGACAAAGGAGAATTCCCGGCAGAAAATCTGAAATAAAATACTTGTAATTATATTTCGAATATATATGTATAAAAAAAAGTATACATATCGAATTGAGTATCTTCCCCTTTTTCAAAGTCGGTTAAAAAGCATCGATATTCTTTGATCAATTTTTTCAACGGTAGAAGAACTATGTTTATGTTTATTTTTTGCGCCCAGGTGATATTTGTTTAACCTCAAAATTACTCATCCTGCTATCAATTGAATTAATAAACGTCTACAAAGCAAAGTCACGAGATTACAGTATCGTCGGTGAATAAATGCATTCTCGCTAAAGACTAACGGGTGGCATTGCAAGGAACAGAACAAAGTAGGCGAGGTGCGCATGCGCAATCAAACGGAGTTATTTTCTCAGAGACCGCTGATGCGCCCGGCAATTAATTTTAATGAAGTTTCCACGTAACGAACGAATGAAAGAATCCACATTGAAAGATGTATTCTCGGTGGTGTGCATAACCGTTTATCTGTGTCGTTGCACATCGTGGCCAGGAGGCACGTGTAAATGCACACGCGAAAAAAAAACTCGTGTCACTCATTTATGCCTGTGCCCTTTGCACATGCGCATGCGCGTGCGCGTGCGCGATAGTAACGACGGTTAAATCCGTTGAACGAATCGCCATACAGCGAAAAGTGAACGGAGCTAAGCAAATTTGTTGCTCGATTGACATTATCCTTACAAAAGGTGACGTTACACTTTAAAAAGAAATTCTACGATGTCTTTCGACCATTCTTCTTATAGGAATACGTGCTTCGACATAATGTATGTAAATGTACGCGCCAAAAGAGGGCCATTGAATGATTTATCATTGTAGATACAGGAGGTCTTGTCAAGGATGTAGTTTCGGGCTTCGAAGGATAAATTCTATAACGTTACTGGATAAATGGTAAATACTTTGTAAGTTAATTTACCTGGAAATGTTTATTATTTCTTGGGAATAAGAAGTGGAAAGACCTAGATATTTTGATTACGCAACTACAGATAAACAGCGTTCAGGAAACCGCCAAGCTACTCAGGAAAGAACGTTTCGAGGAAGGTCGGAAGTTGACCGCGATAAGCGATTACCGATGCTAGTTGTAACGGCTGTTAGTTATAGGGATCTTTCAGCGATGAAAGTAAAATACGAATCAGGAGGCGAGTATAATAAAGGAAGGTGTCGTGACGTTCGAAGCTCGTCAAAGAATTATGTCCAGGGACGTATACATATATACATTTTTCCACGAATTGCGATTCAGGTTAGGAACAAGTTTCGCGCAATTAAACAACAATTACTCCTCGATCGCCGTTTCCGTTGGAACATGTTTCATAAAATGAATACAACAAGTGGTTGCAGTTGACCACGATTGTGCCAAAGTACGTCGAATGATACACATACGACACAAAAGAGATGAATGATAAAAAGGTTCCCTCGAGAACTTCAATTAACCGTACTCGTCATCATTTGCATAATCAATGAAAAACGCTGCCATTGTGGCAATATTTCCGTATTTATTGTAATCTCAAACGTGAAACCCTATTTAAAACGGGTATCTCGGTTGCTCGATGCCAGCGTTGGATATGCACGCGATTCGTTTGGTCGTTGGCCTATCGCCCAGACGTGGAATATATGTATGTATATAGGGGGGATATAGAAGAAAGAATCGGTCAAATCGGATTGAACGAAGAAAAGGATAGAGGAAGATTTTGTGAGGCAGAGTTGAGCACACTTTATTATTTGAATAACGAATAAGAATGACCATAAGAGATACATATTAATAAAGGGAGTAAATTATTTTATCAATTTCTCAGGACATTATAGAAATTGATGTATTTGCAATACCTAAAGGGTTCAAATTTCAATTAAAGTGGAGGATAATTAGTAGAATTACAAGTGCCCAACTCGGGTAGCCGCAAACTCTTAATACATACATAGGCATTACAGAAGTTATTGTAACAGTTCAGTTAAATGGTATTCATGATCTCAGTTGGTAGATTGAAACGCGGTTGCATTTTCGTTTACACCGTACACTCCAATCCATTATTCTCAACGGTGTTTGCTACAGCGAACGCTTAAATCATTATCCACCACAGTCACGGCTATGAAGAAGCACGAGATATTTCATTGGAATCGTTGAGCATACATATATGTATGCATATACGGTAGACATGCTCCTGTTTACCAACCTTCGCGAACAGTAACTTATCCATATGACCCTGACTAGCGACGAATAGAATCAACGACTCTAGTACATACTAAGTTCCTCGTTCTAATATCAGCCGGCATTCGAAATCTGTTAGAAGGTCTATGCATCATGAGTAATCGTTAAAGACACGTTAAGTAACATTCTAATATAAAAAAATGATGGTAAGCTTAAACCTGTATGATATTTATTCTTGTCCCTGTTTATTTTCACTGATTATCAATTACAGAGATAGTACCAGGCGCGACTGATATGATTATCGTAAAATATGAATCATTATAGTGATAATCATATTTTTTCCATAACCATTGCTAAAACGTGGATTAACACTCCCTAGTACGCTTTTCAATCTAAGATTCTTAAATTCTAAGATTTTAAAATTCTAATAAAGTTAAGGGACCCGGTTCACCCGAGATTATTTCAGTAATATTTCTTTTACACTTAATATTCGATTGTAAGGTCCCTGAATCTCTTGATAAAATATAGTTAGATAAATAAGGAGACACCGTGTACGAAGGAAACAGGGCGCCAAGGGAGGGGCCCTTCTTTGTGAGACGGGCTCTGACCTCAACGGATCGTCGGGCCTGAGGTAGGCGCCCCGACTGTGAACGGCAAACGCTGTTGCTGCTCCTGCTGCTGGTTTGCTTGTCTGTCTGACCAGTTGCTTGGCCTGGTTGCCAAGCAACCGTAAAAGCGTCACCCCTTGAATCTCTAAAATTCCTTATACCCAAGTTGTTCAAAGCGAGCTTATATACCCGATTTACCCGACGATCACGTTCTACACGTGAGAAAATCGTCGTTTAAAAATACCACTCGAAAGACTTAACGGTTTTTGATCCCTGTGTAGTATATTTAGAAAGCGTCGCTAATAATTCAGCAACGCACAGAATTGACCGTTACAACGAAGTCATAAAGTTCACGATATATTCGTGTTGGCGTTTAAATCACTTACAAAAAAAAGCTGTTACGTTAAAAGGATTGAAAAAGAAATCACACTTTTCTTCGTGTATAAACTCGATCGTTCAGTGATCAGTGTAACCATGAACTTTCGCGTGAAGTCATGATATCGAGTGAAACGGTTAGTCATTAGAGCGGTCAAACAAAACTATGCATCTCTAGTATCGCCACGTGCCGTAAGATCGCGGCTGATTTAGAGCTACGTCGATTTTACATTGCAATTAATTTCGTAAGTATTACCTACGACCTAGATTGCGATATGTTGCAATTTGCGGTTGTTTTTTTTTTTATGTATATCGTAATTAACGCACGACGGAGAATCGATTATTATATATGGTAATAACGCGAAGAGAGTTTTCGAACAATGTACACAGTGGACTTACCCATGTGAGCGAGGTCGATGATCGGTATTTCGCATTTGCTCAAAAGAGTCTCACAGGTCTGGGTTACAATCGGAGCACTCGTACAGCAGCTCATCTTGCTCGTGGCTAGTTACTCGGCGAAATGAGATTTCTATTGCTGTCTTTCTCCCTTCTTCTATCGATCTCTTTCTTTCTTTGCTGTTCGGCAGCTCTCGCAATTTCGTATCTTGTCCCCGATCTTTCCGTTCCGATCCGTTCACTCGATCGATTCTTTTTTCGTTAGCCTGCTTCGTACTGTTCCTTCTTCCTTGGTTTCTGTGCCCCGTTTACGTTCAAATGTAGCACCAATAATACCGGGATGGTAAATATGTGGCTCGATGTGACGCGCGTGTGTATACACTACATTCACCACGTGCGAACTCACTCAGAAAATGAGCGAACAATTTCACTGAAATATCCAAGAAAAAATCATGCTATCACTGTACACGTCGAATGGAGACCCGAACGTTTAAGCTACAGCCTGATCGGTGATCCTGTTTCGGAGAGCGAAATTCAATCGGTGTACACGGTAGGTGTTGCGGATTATTGTGGAGAAACTGATGTGGCAACCCTAACGGTAGCCGTAGGAGACGAGTTTATTATGGGGCTGGTGGTGCGGCAGGTAAACGTATACGTGATTCTGAACTGGTGGGCACATGCTACGATATCGATAGAGTAGCAGATAACCAAGTACTGAGAAGAAAACAACACCGCAACAACGATCGTAACTCACAAGCGGACGCTCGTTAACTGAATCGACGATACACGTAAACCGACCAGAAGCGCGCCTCTTGACTCGAGCGAAGCCGAACCTTACCGAGAGGAGTCGAAGTTTTACGAAGTTTTACGAACTTCACCGATCAGACCTTTCAGACGTTAGCGCGCTCAAACGAAGGAAAAACAAACTGATGTTCGACGGCTTTTTACTTTTATTTGAATATTTCTAATTTTATTTACATCTTAATATCGTAAAATATATATGTATTTCAATATTCCCTATGCTATAATATATTATTATGTTTCTGTTCAATTCAAAATATTTGGAGTATTAAATTTTTAAATTCAGAAATCTGTTTCTAATTCATGAAATTTTTTAGATGTTTAAAAATTGCATTAGAAAATGTCGAAAATCAATTCTATACATTTCAGTACGAATTTATACGTTTTTTAAACACAACCTACATCCTACACAGTTAAATGTACGTTTAATTGCATCATCAAACGTACGTTATATGTGTTGGTGATCTACAAGTCGTAACTTTACAAGCCTGCGATAAACTGTTTTGATAAAGGTAGATGTAGAGTGCGACTTACGTTCACCTACTAAATAACCACTGCGCCTTGTACGGTGTTTTGAATCGTACTGCACTCCGGTAGACGATCTTCAATTACTAAATACAAGATTCAACGATCCCCACCACCCACGCTCTCTCGTCTCGTCGCAGCGTATTTCTAATCATTGAAATTAGTACTTTCTGATTATCGTGGCCGCGTAATTTGCATTGTCTTCCAGCATACTCGACCCATGCACCATGCGTCATTTCATTACCCGAATTTATAGATCTGTGCACGAATTTAAGCTCTCCTCATGATCGATTTTCCAGGAGTATCGTAGGCGATACTGTTTCTCCGTATACACCTGTTTTCACACGGTTCACAGGATCTTCTTCCATACTGCTTGCCATCTGTTCCCGGAAAAAAACAAACTCGACGCAAGCTTTTTTGATCCACCGAGAGCACTTTCCTTCCAACTCGGTGCTTCTGTTTTGAACGCCGATAAATTCTGGCAAACAGTCATAAAACGTTTTCCGTAGAGGAAAAATGATTTTTTAATCGATCTTCCTTTTCTCTTTCATCGTGTCCCGTCGTGTAAACCTTTCGTGAATATCGTGTGCTCTCGATGGACGCTGGGTTTGATCCTGGCTGCCTCGAGAGCCGCGGGTGAATGCTGAAGACAACGTTCGTTCACAGGTGAAGATTCTATCGGCGACGAAGAGTAATTGGAATCGTCTTTGGCGTTGCTTTTATTTTTAGCGTGGACATACTTTTGCCGTGGTCGTTTCATGTTTTTCCTGCAACGTTTATCGGGCCTCTTTCTTTTCTTCTTCGCTTCCCAATTCGAGGGGGCCGAGCTCGAATCTCGCCTCTCCGTTTCTGTACTGAATGTAGAACGATAACGCGGTTCATTTATCATTCAAAACATTAATCCGAGAATTAACGCGATTATCTTATCCGTGGGAGCAACGCACAACGACGCGACATCCTTATCGTTGCATTTGAACTCATTTTTTATTCAAATTACACGGACAATTTAAGAACACACTCATTCTTATCTCAAATTACGCGAAATTTGCATTACCTCGACTCGTCCAAGGATGTGCTGGAAGATTCATTGGCAAAGATTTTGGGAAAATGGTAGAAACGACACGTACCGCATATTAATTTTCTTATAATCTGCAATAATTTTTATCACCGTTAAGGATATAAACTTTGATATTCAGAGACTTATCTGACCGTTACCTTTGTAATTAAAAATCCTAAGAACACTTGAATAATCACCAAAGTGGTAGTCATCACATAGGCTACGATGACGATCCTAAGAAGAACAGGGCTAATCACTTCGGCACATCCATTTGTGTTTATAGTTTTAATATCGGTATCGATATCAGAGTGTTCGCAAGGTACCATTGCCCTTAAACTGCAACAACTGAATGGTACACCTCTGTCCCTATATTCTTCGTCGGATATTTGATTCTGCACAGCCATTTCTTCGCGGGACGCATAATCCACTCCCTGAAGAAGAAGCAGTACATCATGGTACCTTTTTACATAAATATTTATGTTCAAACGCTCTTGTACCGTTGAATGAGTTACCCGTTTTGAATGGTGGATTCACCTGCCAGTCAAAGAGGAACCAATCTGTGTAAGAGGAATGACCGCAGCATTGAAAGATGAACTGTATCTCGTCGATGGCGTACTTGTAAGAAGCTGCACTTGCATACAATCGCATCGAGCTGTTGAAAATGTCGATCAGCGATTCTTGTCTTACGCTTATGTGGTATCCTATGGAAACTAGAGTGGCTGCGTTCATTATAGCGCATATGGCGATTGCTATCAGCAGGCATCTTAGGGTTCGTCTGGTTTCTGCACAGCAACGTGGCACCTTTCTTCTAAAATAGTATATATATAATTATTACAATTAATTTACAAGAATTCATTCTATAATTATAGTCATAATATTAATTATTAATTATTTGTTATTAATATATATGAATATTAATTATTATAATTATTTGTCAGACAAAACGTTACGAAATACTAACGCGCGTATGCTACGAACAGTTATCATCGCAGTCGGCAAACCTAAGCTGACGTTTATCAGTGTAAATATGACGGGTCGTAAACCACCCGCGAATCGAATGATCTGCCATTCGGCGAATATCTCTAGTATCAACATGAAGAAACGTTTCGCCTCGAATATCGCCAAGGTGACTGCCACACCATAACCGAATCTCACTTCCCATCCGCAATTACAAGGGACTCTTGCATTTTTTTTAAATCTTTTACTCCTTTGGAAGCTCTCGTTGCTCGACATTCAATAACCTTGGTAGGATCTTCCAATCACTGGATCCTTCTTTTACCTGAAAATATCTTCTAAAATCATCAGTCTTATATCAAACATTAGAATAGTAGAGATAAAATCATTGAAATGAACGATTCTCTGATTACTATATCATTACAAGATAAAAGATAGTTTTACAAAGTATGCAGATTGTCATGATGTTTGACTATGTCGATTCAAGGAATCGTCTGGGATCACGCAGTGTTATTACGTCATTGTTCACCCGACAATAAGCATCATTTTGGCAGGAAGTTGGGCACAAAGAAAATATACATGTCACCTCGAGGTTGATACACAATTATCCTCTCTACGAGGTTTTAATTAAAGTTCTAGCTTTTCATGTTAAGATAAACATTGCAGGAATTTATTAGATAAAACTGCAAAAATCATGATCGTAAAAATCATGAGAGTACGTTATGCAACTTGCTCCATGTGTTCCATGCGTTTATGGCAATGTCAATATCGCATCCAAGGTTAATCGTTTCCATGTCTATAATTCTTCTCGTAACATTTCCATCTTAATCGTCGAAAAACCGATTAACAGAGATTTTCTAATCAGATCGCTCGCATTTGCCTTGCAAACGAGCTTGGATAAGAAATTGAAGCTTAATGAGATCGAGTCTCGTGAGGAACACGCTTCGAAAGAATTGATAGACTGTTTTACGATCCTTATCGAACACTCACCAGACCCCATGGCGTGTGAGATAAGACAGCATCTTTAAAACGTTACACTTTTTCGGATTTTCTTGAAAGTTAGCGAGGATCGTGAACGATCGATGGGTCATTGTCTTTGTTCTGAAACTAATTTCACTCGTCGATCAATCAACGTAATCGTTCGATCAATTGATTTATTAAAATGAACATAGGTACAAGAATAATTGTAATTACACATGCTTCGTACCTTACTGTGTATGTATTTATATTTTTCATGTTGGTATAAAAAATATATATCTATATCTCTAGGTGTAGTTTCTAAATATTGCTCTCCATACGTTCATTCACTCCTTTTTCCACAAGTACTCAGGATTATTTATAAGTTGAACACATCGTTTATTCTTATTCCCTAAGTGTAAGTTAAGCTTCAACGTTTCACGTTTACTAGAGTGGATCGAAAATAGCATTAGCAGACCGGTTGATAATTGATTAAAATAATATTACTATACCATTTTTACTATGGTACTTCTGTAACACAATATGATATCTACATTTTTTTTTAAATAAAATAATTACAAGAAAGCAAAACATACCAATACCTTTCTGATTCACTGTAGTTTTTAGTACAATGCAAAATATACGGTAGTTCTTATATGATATGCAAAAGTCAATTGAAGATTTCAGAAATAACATCTGTCAAGATAACAGAATCTCTGCTCTTAGATAGTCATCCATAAATTATTGCTTTTTCGTATACCCTGATTAGTACATTAATTAACTCCACACAGTGACGCAACGCTTTTACGTCAAATTATGTACAATTTCAGCAGAAGAAACAACATCGCGCTTTTTCTGATGATAACACCATAGAAAACGAGTCGTTTAAGCTCAGTTGACAGGATATTTGTATATGTCAACGTAAGAATTTTTAATACCCAGGCTCCAGAAGGCTAAGAACGGCAACTTCTCGGTTAGATACATGGCTATACGCATATGGCCATTGAAGTACATTCTGAACAGTGATGACCACCAGTACGTGGACTGCAGCAAATATTTATGAACGATCAGTTGAAGATTCAATATGAATCTGCTATACCACGACATGTTGGACGTATCTGAAAATAATAATATAATAATGTAATATTATTTCAATGGAAATCTTCCATCAAAAAAGGAAGAAACAGAATGTACAGAATTAATTTGAACACCTAATAGCTCACCTATTGTTAAAGAATGATTGTTATTCGTGGCGGAAGAAGATGCCAGAATAAAAGTGAATGCGACAAAGGCACTTGGTTCGATAAAAGGATTTATTGGCCATAGAGATTCGATCAGAAGGTAACTCATCTTATCGAAATCTTTGTTACCACGTGCCAGAGCAGGCAGGAATATCTCGTCCAAGAGTCGTCTGCAAAGTGCACGCACCTCTTCAACGTTTCCGCTACATATGTTGTACCTGCATAATATACATTTGATCATTGATACGTCTAGATATTGATTCAATCATTTTTATGACAAATTTTCATTACTAAATCATAATCTTATCTAGAAGTACTACGGCCCGTGATCATCGAATTAGGACCACGTACGAAAATTTTACTTTTATGGCTATAATAGTATGTCATAAATGGAAAATTATCTTAGGTCATTCAAATTATTACTAAATACATTGATAACCAGGTATACATAACAATAGACTTGTTACTATTGTGATGAAAATAAAATGATGTGGGCGATGAGCGATTAAGGACCTATTCAAAAGACTAGTTTACAACTTTCCAAGCACCAGATTATCTGAGTTGAAAACAAGAATTACAGATATTTGGGAAAATAATGAAGATATAAAGAAATATATGCGGAACATGCCGGAAAGGATACAAGCTGTCATCAAAGCAAAGGGGTGGAAGTACAAGATATTAACACGTGTTAATAATGTTATGTACAGTAGTAGTGTATTATGTTAGTAGCTAATAAATTTAAACTGGCCTTTTAAGTTTACAGAAAACGTGAAAAATGTTGAAAATTTCTAGCGGTCCTAATTCGATGGCCTGACTGTAAAAGATTCAATTATTTCGGCGAAACGTTAAAAAGGGTATAAATTTCGAAATAGAACTCGTGTCTGGAGCACGAACTTGTCTTCCATGCCGAGCATGCTGCCAACAACACGCCAGAAATGAATCAGTCCTTCGAGTTCCTCGGAATTGTTATTCACCCCGAGATAGTCGCCGCTCAGAAGGGTGAAACCCATGAATCCGAATTGAGTCAATGCCATATCCAATTGCGAGATCTTCTGGAGGCCAGCTTCCGAGCTTCTTCGAAACGCTACGCAGTGTTTTTTCCGTACGATTTTCAGAGAATCGAGAAACCTGCCAAAAAGAAAAGAAAAGGGAAAACATTGATTTTACAGACAATCTTGTTACGAGCAAACGGGCGGTTCGCGATTGATTTATTCCATGAGGAAACTATTTGCCTTTTACATCCTTCGTCTACCTACACCCGTTTATTTTCTCTCACGAAATTTTAACCTTCGAATGGCTAAACAAATCTTAAACGCGTAATCCTGCGTTCAATTATGTGCGTGACGATATTCAGGGAACCCGATGGTATTTTTAACATTTTTAAATTAACAGACTGTGGATTTTAATTTCTTACAAAGGCTTAATTTAAATTTATAAGAATTTTAGTTTAATTTCATAAATTTATATTTATAAAAAGGATTTTTATTTCCCTAACAGGATCAATTGATTAACATTTTATGTAGCAGACGCTTTGATATTTCGGATTTTCCCAGACTAAAGATTATTCGTCTGCACGTCAAGGAGGGAATATATTCGGCAAGATGAATCGATTAAAATACCGGAGCTGCACGAGCTCGACGATTCCCCGAATGCCAATGAACGGGGCACGACTTCATCGATCCTCTTCTACGGTATATTTTTGTCACGCAGGATATTTCATGAAGGAGAGTCGTCGGGACAATCTGGATATCGCTTTCAAACGTTCAAGAGGCGTTGAAAACCGCAGTGATATTAATAGTACCAAATTACTAAAAATAGAAAAGTATTTAAAGAAGGTGGTATTCTTAACTTGGCTCGTGTGTTTCACTGGTATCAATTTTGAGAGCATCATTTAGTGGAAAAGACTTATCATTGTCTATTGAAATTTTGCAAACAAAGCACAATTGCACACTTACTCTTTCTCAATGCCAGCTCTTTTTCCATACCAGGTCCAAGTGTGCAGAATCGTGGATACGTATCTACGAAACGCAGCACACTGCGTGCTACTTTGTCTGGTGAACAATAGAACGTCCTTGATCGACGGTATAGCGAATAGAATTACCAGGCCGCACAGTTTAGCGATCATCATGGTAAAAGTGTTGTTATAAAACATCCTTTGACCAAGTAGAAACTTCTTTTCGTCGAAGAAGGGTGGTAGCTTTGGTTGGAGCCATTCGAAGTCCATCAAGGTGTTCGATCCATCCTTGAGGAGCACTTGCAGCCTCGACTCCGTGGCATCTGAAGCAAAAATCATTAATCTATTAAAAGTGTGAAATAAATTTTAAAAGGCTATTACAAATAACAATCATGAACTCTGAATTTTAGATTCTAGATTATGGTACCTAAATCCTAGTTTCTAGACTTTAGATTTGGACAGTTCTACTAGCTTGAAAGTTTGGTTTAGATTTAATTTTCCTGAATTCTGGATCTCAACCTTTGGATCATCCATTTCAAATTTTGCAAATTAAATTCTGAATCTTTAATCTGGACTCTGATCCTTAGAGCTTAAGCTTTGGATCATTGATAATAGCTTTCAAATTTTGGATTTTAGATCCTCCGATCCTGAAGACACCTGCTCTCTTCAATACCCTTAGATATCGGACATTGAACCATGAATCACCAATCTCCACTGCTAGATCTCGAACTTTGGATGATGGACATTAAAATCTTGGACCTCGGATCATAGATTATGGTTCACGTGGTATTAAATCATGACCCCGAAATCTAGTGTCGCTTACATCACGTTCAAATTCACGATCTTTATTTTTTTCTCACCGATTGTTCCTATCAACCTCGAGTAATTCCATAAAAACGTGTGATACGTTCAGATAGAGAATCTTTTACGTTCGTTTCAATTAAGTTGTTCACAGCAACCGGATCAATGTTTTACAACCGACAAATTTGTAAGACATGTCCATACAAGTGAAACGTACATCGTGTGGGTGATCCCACGATCCGATAGAATAGAATTCATTTGGTATTCAGAGCCATCGAAAGTGGATACATCTGTGCAATGGACATGACTAGAATAAGAACCATCGTCCATAACGAGACGTAATCGAACCGAATGTGGTTGCACGCATTACACATGCTGTCTGCTTAATCAAAAATAGATTAAAGGCTTCTTCCACGTAGCCATTGTTCGCAAAGTAACTATTAAAAGAGATTACGAAACATCCAAGCAATCAGCAGTACTTGTTAACTCGATCCAATCCTATTTCCTTTTCTTTTCTGAAAGAACAAAGTACAATGTATACTAGCAATCAAATCAGGTTACCCCAAGAAAAATGAGGATACCTAATGACATAATTAGGAAAAAGATAATATAGTTTTTAATTATTAAATATAAAATTTAGGAACCCCCTACACATATGGGGTTCCTTCCCTATATTGCCATGTTTCCTGAGGATGGCCTAGGGGAAAGGCAAGGACCCAGAACATCACCATTCTTCCTGAGGAAGACCTAAGATTATTTAACCCTTTCGCTGCCACGCGAATTTTTGAACTTGCACCAGTGGGCCACAATAAAAATTTCATATTAAAAATTTAATAATGGCAAAGAACTGCGAAATATATTATAATAACGGTACAATCTTGCCAATAGCGCATTTTTCTTAGTGGTCACCAGTTACCACCATGGGCCAAATGAAAAGACAAGCGCCGTGGCAGCGAAAGGGTTAAATATAATAAATATATTTTTACCATGGTTCACTTAATTTTTCATTCAACTATCAATGAAAATGATTCTACTCAATTATCTTGACAGATATTTCGAAATAGTTTTATCTTCCACGTGTGTACAGTGGAAAGTTAGATCATCGAGATTATGTCATCATAGCCCATTGCGTAAAAATTGCTTTCACCGAGCTACATTTCCATTCTCTCCTTTTATTGATCGTCGTTCTATTTAATATATCAATAGTAACGTTAAGTTGTAATAATTGAAGTTCTACGTTATCCGCAAGAAGCTGCACACGTGTTGCATTTGAAGCCAGCCAAGGAAAGTAAGTCGAGGCCGTCCGTTTCTATTCGCACTTTCATTAAACGCAGCATGTTTAGAACCTCTGTGCAATACCTTGGGGAAAAAAAATACGAAAAAGAGATAATCAACCGCTTCTGCTAACTATGCGAATAACTTAACGGTTTGACCATGCAGGTGAAACGTGTCTTAACTGTGAATGGATGAATAAAATATGAAATTTTATTCTGCTATAATTACAAAATTACACTAACTGGAATTTATAGAATATTATAATTTTAAATACAGTTATTTTTCCATTCCGTCAAGGATCAGCTCTTCTCCGGAAATATGCAAAATCGTTGACTCGAGAAGAAAGAAATTTCCATTAAAACTCTATAAACCTTGTTCGCTTCTTGGCACAAAGTCAGAGGACTCAGGTATAAAATAGAAAATACTTGATTTTTTGAAGGCGAATGATCCACGGGAAATTGTTTAAAATTGACAAAGATTATGTAAGAGAATAAACAATGAGTACCATGAAATATCAGATATGCAATCATTCGCTAATACTAATATCCTGTACAAGATCGTTCAAGGATTTACTTAGGTTATATAACGTAATAAAACATCGTTTGTTCGAAGAAAATTTTACCGAACACCCAGAATCTTCTTTCGAGATTTTGTAATCCTCCAGGTTCACTTAAGGTATAAAAAAAATTTCCTTGTACTTCTACGTATCCAATACATACCCATCTAAATGAAGTTTTAATGTTAATTAAATATTTTAGAATTTATGTTGATTTACAGAATTATCATTATTTGAATGACATACATATTTTCACTTCCGGTGCAAAAGTAGCACCGCGTCGGTTCAATGGACCTAACGATGCAGACCTATCTTGCTTAGGATGCTTAGTAGTCTTAATATTTCAATATTAAATATTATAAATTTGAATAATAAAATAATAAAATTTTGAATAAGTGTCGTTGATAGTTAGTACGGTTAATTTTAAGTTCTTCTCAAATAAATAACTCCATATATACACCAGTACAAGAACACTTCGACTCTGCCTACGGTATTCTTACCCAGGATGCTTTGAACCGTAACAAAACTAAAACAACTCAACTTACGCATAAAACGTGATCGCATAAAAAACATGATCCATCCAAGAAAAAGTGCATCACCGGTACACTGAACCTCTTTAAAAAAAGACACTGACCTGCCAAATCCGTCTGTTTCACGTCCTTGATCCTATTCATGTTTACGTGCCACAATCATAAGATCAACTCTTCCGCTGCTCGTACATCTATCATTGAATGCACTGTACCATGTACTGGCGGCGATAAAAACTGCTACACCCTCGTATTCAACACGATCCAGTAAAACTGATTTATCATTAGTACACGATTACTCTTGGTATTAAATTAGCACAACCCGTCTTCTTCGATCGTGCTGGCCGCGTATAATACTAGGGAATGAAAGAAGCAAGTTTCTACAGTACATCTTTGGAGAAAGGTAAGTCTCCTACCTTTCGCTCGCTCCTTCCTTCTCCTTTTCCTGCAACGACCACGTGAAACGGTGCATATAGAGCAACAGAGTACCTTGACATCGAAATGAGAAATCTATCATCAACGATTCGACCTCAAAATTGCATTACTTTCCTAAAGCTTGATTCTTGTCGTAAATTATATGAATAATAGATTGGAAAATTACCTGAATTCTGTATGACATTATTTGGCAGGGTTCCTTTCTGTGAGCAGTCAATCTTTAGGCTTGGTTTTTAAAACGAAATTACTATCAATGATTTTAGGTCTATGTTAACACGTTGGCCGTGGAAGCTGTGGATCTGTATCACACTTCATTAATATTATTAATAATGATATTAGGATACTATTGTTATAATAGATATTAGTATTTTGATAACGTTACACTAAAAAATGAGAGGGAGTAAATTGGTTAACCGGAAGTGTAACGTGCATCTTTGATACATTCGTAAATACAATTGGATCCGTCACAAAATTCTTGATATTATTAAAAACTGAACTCTGTTAATATAGATACATAATTTATGGCTCTATTATAAATCTACCGTATTATATACTTACTGCATTGATGTTGCAAGTGCCATGAATAATTTTGCATATGTTTACCGATGGAGTGACAATACCGGAAAACGTTAAATTTTACCCATAAACACCATAATTATCGATAGAGCACGAAAGCTTCGTCGTTTTCGGTGGCGAAAGTAAATGTCAAACGAACGCAATGCTGGTCGCATTTTGTACGAACGGAAAGCGAAAGTTCTCCCTATTGCTTTTCTGTTCGCTCTATCGTTGTACCGATACGCGTGTACAATGAACTTGTCGTTATGCTGTTGGTACATTGGTGAAAGTAGCTATATTTTCGACATCGTTGTTCGTCTTACCTTTACACATGTTGCATTTGCTTCCACTTGAATGAGAAAAGAATTCTGGGTATCTTTGATCACTGTTAACAATAACAGACAAGTACATAATCTAGTATTTTGTAAAGGAAACGTTATAAACAGTGTTTACTCATTAACAATATTCAGTATTAACAGATTATTAACACTCTAAAGTGTTGATCTAAAAGTAACGATAAACAATATACGTACATGTGAAGATATAAGTTTAATATTGAACTGATGGTCGACGGCAAGAAGAATTAATTTTAGCATTGTGATATAACAGGATGTGGTAAGGGCGATTTCTTTAAAAAAACGCCGCCATAAAGAATTAATATCGTCAGTGCCATCTAACAGCAAAGCGTCCAACTATGATCAAAGATCATCGCTAGATGGAACTATTTGTAACGTTTGATGGCGGTATTTTTTTAAAAAATGGCACAATTTAAAAATATACCGTGATATACGCACAAGTATTGTTTACTTAATATATAATATTACGAATAAATGAAGAAAAACAGATGAGTTTTGGAAAAACCATGTATTATAGAATAATAATAGATTACATTGTTCATGGTAATAATGATATAGTAAACCAGAATATACCTGACAATAATAATAAGAATCTAAAATAACACGAATACTGAATACATATTATTAACAATAATGAGAGGAGGGACTTTGGGGGATGTTTGGCAAAAAAGGAAGGGGCCAAACCGCTGAGAACTGCATTCAAAATAAAAGGGGGGGAAAAAGGTGGGAAGGAAGGAAAGGGAAAAATAGAAATACGATAAAATTAATAAGATTAGATCTATGGATCGATAAATCTACCATCTTCGACGTGTTTCATCATTTTGAGCATTTTAAAAAGAATTGACTACATAGCCCGACGTGAAATGATTTCAGTCACGTACAGATCCGCTCCTCCACGAAAAAAAATATTACACTTCGTTGTATGCAACAAAAATATGTTTTAAATCAACAGAACAAGAAAATAAAACAGAAATGAAATACAATAAGGAATGACGTTTGGTTGTATTTAAGACTTACTGCTAAATGTAATTAAAGTAATTGCTCTGAACAGCAATTTTTACGATTGTTTAAAAAAAAGTAACGCGTTCACGACGCTGGTTTATATAAAATGTAAGTTTCCTTTCTTTCATTGAAAAATAATAAAATATATAATTCGTTCTCCGATCAAACGTGAAACGCTTTTATTTTAATTCTGTTGTATATATAAACAAGGAAAAAACCTTTATGTATGTGTATACGTACATATTATCTATATATGGGTGTGTGTGTGTGTGTGATATATTAGCGTATCGCACGCACAACGTGAAAACGTTTCAATATTGTTTTTCTTTGCTAGCACGCGCGAAAATTTTTCACGAGACGAAATTATTGCGTCTGTTTTATCTGTTTCATATAAGCCGAAGACTAAAGGTGCAGGGAAGAAGAAAAGATACGAAAAAAAAAAAAAAAAAGGATCGAGCATATTTCTTTTTCCACTCGAGAACCAGCTCGTTTTAGGAATTGTACGTGGTTTCCAGACATCTGGAAATTTGTTAAATTGCACCCTGGTCTTTGCGGATTGGTCCTTTCCCACTGGCGCCATAATTATCAATTCTAACTAATTATTCACGAGCTGAGATCTTAACTTTACTAACGAAGCACCTCGAATACACTAAACGAAAAAAAAAAAAAAGAAAAAAAAATTATGGACAGTATTTAAAAGAAAAAATTAAAAGAAAAAGAAAACATTCGGGATAACGACAGAAATGGGTGTTTGCGATTAATTGGTTCAGTTCTATTCAGGGACAGAACACGCTGACGTTTCTTGAACATTATTCTTCCTCATTTTATCGGCTGTGAACGAACCACGGTATATTGTTTTCGTTAAAATATCAAAGCATGCAATTCACGTTGCAAGAACGTTACGGCACGACACTGGTCTAATAACGCTAAATAAATTTCATAAGACTATGTCGTTTCGCATGGCAGCGATGCTTTACGTTTGATTAAAAAAGCAACACGACACGTCGAATTTGCAGAGGCCTCGAATGTAATTAGATATCAACTAACTGGATTCGTGCACCTCGTGAACAAAGCCATGTTTATTAATTGACCATCCACGTATTTTAAAATGAACCATCCTTTAATCTATGCTTTTGCGAACCATCGAAAGCCTCTTTAGGCATGCTAAAAAGTTGAACGGCAGAACTGTGTGCACGAGTCAGCGAGAATAAGCTGTCTAAATTGTATTTTTTTTTTCTTTTTTTTTTGTGTAACGTTCCCTCTGTGCATCACCTTTTACAATCATGATCCACGGAGGTTTGGCAGCCTTTGTGTTATTATTTTCAACTAATAAACTATGGCATAGGTTACAATGCGATATAGTCAACGAATGTACCGAGTGGACAAAACATTCTTGTTCTTAAAATACACACTCGAAATCCACTTCTACGCGCAAGGATTTTGCACAAGTATGAAAAAATAAAGGAGACGAAATAGTCCTTGTAAGGAAGCACTAACGCGCAGACGAGGATTTGAATAAAATTCTTACATGCTAAGCTGTAAATCTAATACGTACTATGATTCCATACTATACTGTAACATGTACGAATTTGTGCCACCCGGTATAACTCCGAAATTCCTCTAATTACTTTGCTGGAAGGTAAGTACGCGATGACCAGCTGTTGCTCCATGGTGAAGTTGTTTATCTTGGTCTGTTCTACGGGAACGACTCAGTGTCTTGCATTAAATTACACATTTTGCTCAAATCCACGATACACTTCATTGATTTTCCATCACTCTAATATTCAGAGTGTGTGTCTAGTCAAATCCAAAATTGTAAACTGCAATTCTTCTTTATGCATCCAGTATAGGATCATTGATGGTGTTCCAGGATTCTGCTTGGTCAGTGTATCAGTGTTTTATACGAAGTGTTCGGTTTTAGGTGGACGTCCTTTAATAAGGTAGTAGCTGAGGTGATTCTGAACAACTATTTCCTTTACCAAAATGCTCGTTAAGGCTTAGTTTTTGAATTAATAATGAAAAACACTGAGCAGTCAGAGCGCGCATGCTCAGACGAGGGAGTGTAAGCTACGAACCGACGCGACGCGCCGAGTAGTTTATTCGCGGCCATGACCCGCGCAGTATGTGCGCTCTGATTGGTCGGTGTTTTTCATTAATAATTTAAAAACTAAGCCTTAACGAGCATTGTGATAAAGGAGAAAGTTGTTCAAGATCTTCTTAGCTACCACCTCCTACAAGGATGACCACCTCTAACCGTACACCCTCTGTGTGAAATTAATATTCAGCTGCTATTGGTAAGTATTACTGGAAGCAAAATTATTGTTGAATCCTATGAGCAAATGTGCATGATCATGTATCCTCTGACTTTTTTAATGCGTCATAAGAATCGTTCCACTGGTGAGTCCGTTTATTGTGTTCAAATTTTGTGTCTTGAGCTTCTTATTTGAAGGACTTTTCACTATGATCCGTTTACGTCAAAATTATCCGAAGGAAGACGAATGGATTCGTCGAAAAATAATTGGCGGTCAGCTCTTGCGTGTCCTGATATTTTGGTACGTTTTCGTGTTAATATGTGTATTGTGCTTTCGAGTCCCCCTCTTAGCATCTGTTTCACTCTTGACTTCTTTTTTATTGATTAATGTTCTACCTATTTACATTAAATTCACTGCTCTTTTAGCTATGAGCTAGTACTTAGTACCAGCTACAAACTAGGCTATCACGAGAGCACGGGACTAACTTCAGTAGCATCTTTGCAGTCTTGAATGGATAGTTGAGTTAGCTCGTTAGCTATCTCTTCCTGAGTAGTTGACTCCGTCTTCTTCAATATCGTATATCCTTGATGTATTTCTTCGTTCTCACCGTTCGTCTTAGCATTACTCTTAGCTTGTCCATTGGCTTTCCTTTTGCCTGAAGTTTCTTCTCCAGACATACCAGGGTGAATTTTAAACACACTTTTTATAATGCTATTAACAGTTGTCTGAGACCGTTTTGGACTATCATTTTTCTGATCAGAAATGAATCTAATGCGATTCGTTCTGTTACTTTCTGTGTTTTCTTTGTACTTGTTCCCTTTCATTGCAGCACCTTTTGGCTTTGAATACTTTTGATCAGATGAATTCTGACCGTTTGGAAGATCCGTGGTCTTTACTTCTTGGTGCTTATCTTCAGGCGTGTTTTCAACGGAATTTGTTGTATTTTGATCAGGATTCGTCGAAGCAGAATCTGAAGTATGAGTATCGTTTGATTTTCTAGTAGATTCAGTCGTTTCACCATCGGAATCATTAGTCTTTTTAACATCTTCGTCTAAGTCTGTCACCTGGACATTTTTCGTCTTTTCAACGGTCTCTTTATCCGGAGATACTTTATTACTGGATGTATGATTGTTCGTGTCTTGTCGATCATTTGATGGTAACTCTCGTTGCAGAACCTTAACAGGGCTCTTCGGTTTTGTGCCACTGTCGGATAGATCCTTCTGACAGTTTGTACAGGAAGATTGTTTGGAATGAGTAGGTGAATTGATTTGTCTCTTGCTTGCATTGTTCTTCTGAGCAACACCCATATGTGGCCTGCCTAATTTCAGAACGTTAAGCGGAGAAATTGTTTGAAGATTAAACGACGCCGTTGCTTCATACTGTGGAACTGGCTGAACGTGATTCAAACGTATCTGCTGTTGTTGTGGTTGCATTCTGCACATATCGATATGCATTGTATTCTCCATTCGTTGTTGGTAAGTTATATATGGTTGATAAGGTGCTCCTAAGTTCGTGTTCATGTTTGGATTGACGTTCGCATTTGTAGATGGATCGTAATTAAGAGTGCTGTTAGGATGTACGTTTGAATTGACATACTGAGGCACCATTTGCCTAGGTAACTGCTGAAACTGATACTGTGGGCCTGGATATGCAGGACAGTTTTGTTGTGGAATATTCTGTACAATATTATCCCTACCGCATTCTCTATAATTATAACGATCCTGTGTGATCCGAGGAACGTTTCCATGATATTGTTGTGATACCATTTGCCCAGACTGATACATCTGGTCGTTCTGTGTAATTACTTGATTCTGAGACTGATGACCGCAATTATCATAATGCATACCTTCGTTATTCATTGCCCTACCATATGCTAAACTCGAATGATACTGTGGAGGTTGAGATGTATAGTCCTGCTGCTGGTGATCCTGATACTGAGGATACTGAAGAACAGGTGGTTGCGCGTCGATCCAAGTCTCCTGTTGTGGAGGAGGTTGTTCTAAATCCCGTCTAGCTTGCACTGCATTCCATACTTCCTTCAATTCGCCAGTGATATCACGATCTTTTAGTATCGTATATTGCCGCGTAAAAATCACTCCCGCGTTAACTGTTTCCACAAAGTCTAATAAAAGTTCTATTAAACTGGTGCGTTTCTGTAACAAAAATCGAGCCATAGTGGAAACTGTTTCTCATAAGTGTTTAGAGATGGAAAGTACCTTTGGATCTTGTGCATTCTTGCCATTTATTCGAAGAACCTCTGGATTAGCCATCACTGCAAACACTATGGCTTCTTCTTTTGTACGCGGTGGTCTGACCCTCATTCCCCCATAAAATGGTACAGGCTGAGAAGGATTTAGCGGCATTGCAATTTTTTCCCAGGATAAAACATTTACATAACATGGGACTGCAATACCCTAAAGTAACAGAACAATTGTTGTTTTTTTTTCATTAAAACTGTATTCAAAACAGGTGTTGTTTGTGAATGAATGATACATAAACATACCTGTATGAAGTCTTGTATACACATATGAGGCTGAGGAGGGTTTTTGAAGAGACGAGCGCCATTGCGCTTCATTCTAGTAACACTCCCTTCTGTCATTTTTTAACTGAAAATAAGCTGATATTGAAATTTTATTACAGACATTAACAGTAAAACTTTATACACATAAATGAAATACATATGACAAACTTTATACTTAAACTTATATACAAATTACATAAAAATAATATTTAACATTATTATTATTACATGGAATTGTATTTATTTAAAATTTATTATACATTACAAATGAAAAAATTCTATTTTGTAAAAATAAAGGATAAAATGATCAATAATTGTGTCGCGTAAGCGTTACGATGCGACTGTAAATAGGAGAAGTAAAAAGGACGGCTAAATATTCGTAGCAACAAATGTGACGAAGTAAATGTATCAAATCGCACACTATCATGCCTTTAATAAACTTATAATGAAAAAGAAATTTTTCAACAAATATAACGAACATAGATTAAAGGATAAGTGGGTATAGGGATTGGAAAATTTTTACGATATCCCTGATGCATTAGAGCCCTCTCGTTGCTCGACCATCATAGACTGTCAATATAACCTCAAAATTCGTGAAGTTTCTACTTGAAATGTTTGAATAAATATAAATGAAATGGTTATTTGTATGATGCAATATACTACAAAGCCGATATACAGACTTATGTTACGTAAACTCACCCCGAGGTGTTGTTTCACGAGTAACAACACTCAACCAAGCTGCGATACAATACAACACATTATCAAGCAGCTTCGGTGGAAAAGATCCATCGCTCCTTTTGTTTATTATTTTTCCGGAGTCTGCGCGATTCAATTCTCTACAGGCGCCCAGCTACTTTACGTGTTCGGATTACGAACTAAAATGTGCAATATGGCTACAACCGGAAGTAACGTTTTCTGCATCGATGTGAAGTGGGTTAGAAAACCCCTAGATTTCATTTTCAATTTTACATTAATTATTATTTTTACAACTGTTTGATTTTCAAAAGGATACCTAAAATTAAATTAAATGTATCTATTTCAAATATAACAAGTTATCTTTTGATAAATCGTATAATGAAAGTTGAAAGCAATTGATCAAATAAGAATCGATATATCTGAAAACGATTGCATTGATCCGGAAGTAAAATGGGCGGGATACGCAGGTGTTGTGCGCGAATAGATTTTTCGGATAAAGTATTGTAAAAATGTAATAAAAATTACATTATTTGTTAATTATTCATAGTAAAACTGTTAATATTAGTGTTATGAATTGAAGTGTTACATTTTTTCGAATATATGTCAAGATCTCAGTATAAAGCACATGGTCCCACGGTACAGCTAAGACGATGCGATGTAAGGAAACGAATCATATATTCGTACTATTATCAATCAATTAACACTGAATCTTTTTTGTACAGCTGATACTTCATCTGAGAACGTGGCCCACTCCTTATTAGGGTATGTACAACAATTTTATATCATCTTTTTTTATTTATTTCAATCATCGATCATGTTACTGCAAAAATATATTATTCGCTGAAACATGGCGTATCTCCGATTACATTTACACATTGACATTTACTATTACGTATGAGGGTAACAAACGTTTTCACTGTGATACATTAATAGCTTTTGTTTCCGAAACTAAAATGGATACGTATTACATTTTTAACAATATTTTTATTGCATTTTATGTTTTGATACTCTCGCATGGCCTGCAATATCGCGGAGCAAAAATAAACGTATCACGAAACGATACTCTTGTATCGTTGAAAAGCCAGCAATAATTTTATCGTAGTTGCTTTTTTCTCCGACACAAATTGTGTTCGGTTTAATTTTCTGCTCGTCCTATTGAACGAAAGCGATCGATTAAAATCGTTCGCCATAATAAACCATAATAGGTGCCGCGAAGTTGTCCCTAACCAAGAAGAACAAAAGGGGCTCTACTTTACGCGTGTTTATATCGTTTGGCGCGCGCGAAGAATTTCGTTCAAAAGTAGTTGAGTTTATAGTGGCAGGATCGTTTACGTAAATCGACGTGATTTGCACGCGCCCTTTCCCTATCATTATTTCGAATTAGTCCCAGCAATTAGCAGAATAATAATTAGGTAGCCGTTCCGAATAAGTTATCGTTAGTTTATCCGTTGAACACGATCCCGGAGATCGTTAGTGGCGCCACTTGTGAGTGGTGTATCGGCCGTGTGTGTACGTGCGCCATATCGGCCGAGCATCGATGGGGCCCCGTTCGATCCACCGTATCATTATGACGCCTCGCAGCCAACTATCGATCTCGATCGATGATATTAATAGTCGCTAACTACAGTCTTTCACGCCGCTCGCGTTCTAAAGCATGTTTCTCGTGCTTGGCGGATGTTATTTCTTCGGCCGATGCGCGCGCCGCATCAACGGAACCACGAAATCAAGGAACGTTTAAGTTTCGCGCCATAAATAAAGTTGATAATAATAAGGAGGTAGAAAACAGAAATTCTAAGTTAGTTTTATATTTGCAGAGGTTAATATTTTTAATTATAATACATTTTCTGGGGACATTCTCTGGGTAAATAAAATGAATAAAAATAATATTAATATTGTTGAAAGGAAATTACCGTCGACAGTATTATTCACGTAATCGAACAGATTATAGAAAATGTTCGCCCGATCTTTTTTTTTTTTATCCGCGATGGAGATTGAAGTCACGAAACGTGTCGGCAAGCGTTAACAAGCGGAAAACGTGCGAACGTAACGCGAAGTCGCGATAGGGTCATGATTCCATGGGCCCCGTAAGGAGCCTGTAATGCGAAATAATGGGTATCCACCCACTCGATGAAAATTACACGAGACGTGGCGGCTCTCGATCCAACCGACTCGCTTCTCGCCACCTGAGGGACGGGGAAATAAAAAAAGAGCGATCGTGGCGCGCGTACCCTACCCCTCTTGCCGAGATAATTGTTTAGTAGGCGCGAACACCGTAATTAAAAACGAGAATGATGCAGATTCGAGATATGGAACTGTCTTCTCCTGGTAGATGAAGCGAGTCTTTTACAACTGGTGCTACTAGCATCTGCTATTAGTGATATGTTTAAGCAAGGAGTATTTTTTTAAATATTTAGAATTGTAAAAATAAAAACAATTACTGATGGAGTCATTGGTAATTTAATATTATTAGATTCAATACTTCAGGTAGCAAACTAATATTTTTCTTTTTAAATTCCATAACAAGGATTAAACTAAATCCAAGTTCGTGTAAAATACGAATACGATGGTGGTCGAACATTCGGTACCCCACGCGAACAAGTAAATCTTGAGCTCCTTCGTTCTTTTTACGGCCCTCCTAATGAGAGCTCCATGGCAACTCGGGCATAAACGGATAATTAACCGAGAGAGGAGAGAAAAAACGAACAGGCAGAAAATGAATGTTCGCGAACGAAAGTAAAAAATTTGTGGTAGGGAGAAAGCCCCAATCTGACCAGGTGCATCGAACATCGTGTACGCGACCCCATCGGCTTGTCTGCCTGCTTAAATGAACCCTACCATGGGCTCCTTATGAAAATTAATTGACATATCGATCGAAGCCGATGCGTGTACTCTTCGTGTCCAGGCTTCGTTCCGGTTATCCTTCACATGAAGGACTAAAATTTTTAATATTGGAGTTGCAATAGGCACTTAGGAACTTAAGCATCTTGGAACTCAGGCACTTTGATACTTAGATATTTAGGAAATCCAGGTACTTAGGTACTTAGATATTTAGGAACTCAGGCGCTTAGAAAACCAAGCTCCTAGGAACTCAGATACCTAGGAACTCGGGCAATTATGTACTTAGATATTTAGGAACTCAGGCACTTGGGAAATCAAGCACCTAGGAACTCAGATATCTAGAAATTTAGATATCTACGTATTCAGGCTCTTAGGAACTCGAGTATCTAGGAATTCAGGCACCTAGGAACTCGGGCATCTATATACTAGAATGAGTAATAAAAATCCGATAATTCATCCGTACTAAAGCGACTATATCCATCTCACAGTATCCTCATTAATAACCACTTAAACTTGACGTTAAATCTCTGTAATTAAAGAAAAACTAAAGAACAGTCTCGAAATACTGATGGGACGAGATGTAACGCGACCTTTAATCGTCGCATCAAATCAACGAAACGATCATCGTAAGCGACATAACACGGCGTTATGTTTTCTCGACACGAGCCAGACCGATTGCCATAAACGCGAGCCAAACCGTTGTAATTAATTCACACCTACGAACGTTACGAGGTAAACATGAGAATCGAAAGGTGGCCATGGTTCGTTCTGCAACGTCGAAATGTAATTCAACGACCAACAAATAGAATAAAAAGAAAGAAAGGAAAATGAGATCTTGGTTCGATCTCGTTTAAATTATTTATCGCGTTTCGTGCAGCCAAGGGACAAATATGTCTCGGCCACGATTAGGAAGGAAAGGGCAAGGATAATATAATAACGAAAAGAAAAAAGGAAACTCGTGTAGATATAAAAATAAATAGCCAGAGAACGGAGAAGCCGACGTGCCACACGCAGAGACCACGCGAGACGTGTTTATAGTAATGAGCCTTGTCGTTATTTGTCCAGCGAAAGGGATTTATCGAGATACCTCGTGAGATCTTGTTGCTCGATCTTCTTCTTCTTCTTCTTCTTCTTCTTCTTCTCCTTTGTGGTCTTCTTCTTCTTTTCTTCTCATCGATGTCTCCTTATTTTCGTCCCTTTCTTTCTTTCTTTCCTTTCGCGTACTGACGGCCATTCGATTCTCCTCTGTCGCGAACTTTCAAGAAATTCACTTGCTAATGGTAGTTCGTGTTATATTCGTGGATATTTCAAAATGATAAATTTTAGATTTTTTTAATTTGTACTAGAGTAGACTATTTTATTTATAAATAATAGTTTATTGTTTGATGGATATTTCTGATTTATTCTGAAACTTTAGAAAGTCGAAGACTTTCCCTCTTTCAATTATAATATTACTTCCCAAGCCACGATTGCATACACTTCGTATTTTCCCATTTCCTGAACCCTTTCGAACTCCCACCCCCGAAACCCACAAATCATCGGAATCGTCACGCATTAAGAGCGTATTACAGTGATTGGAAAGTGATAACCGTAATAAGCACGACGTGGAATACACGGTGTGTACGGGGCCGGAGGAGGCGTCGACCGATCGGAGAATCAGCTTTAAATCGCCGATAATTTCTTTCTCCATCCTCGTCCGTGTCGAGGACGTGCCGTGGGTATCGAGTGCCCGGCCAGGTAACGGGTGATCGGCTCGTAAAATTTTGTGACATCCAAATTATCCGAATGCAAATGGTGCCCGGTAACGAACCGTAACCCTTATTCGTAACCGTACTATACCCGGAAAAACGAAGTGAAAAAAAAAAAAAGAGAACCATAAGTAAAAGATCAGCTTATAAAATCAGTGTTGCGGAACGGTAATCTTGATCGTTCAATACGTTCAAGTATCGCAGGGATAATTTGCGAAACGACGGACCGGTACCAACTTCCGCATTTTGCGCGAGGGTAGAAATCATGGGAATTGTCACACATTAAGGGGCGTATTACGGTGATTGGTCGGATAGATAGGCTTAATAACGAGGCAACAAAGTACACGTGTGTAAAAGGGGGCAGGAGTGTAGGGTAGGTATCAAGGCGTCGACCGTGGAGAAAATCATCTTTAAACCGCCGATAATTTCTTCGTTGGTCCTTTTGTGTTTTTTTTTTTTTCTTTTTCTTTACTGCCTCGAGGCATCGGCAGACGAGGGAGAAAGAAAGGTGGCGTAAGTATATCGCAGCCACGCAGGGTCACGAGCGGCTCGTTCCGAACCAGGCCCTCGCCA